CCCCGGAACGCGGGTGACGTATCATTTATAACCGTCGTGGGGCAACGCAACAAGTTGGGCGGGTAAGTAGCACGACCTGACGGAAGACCGGCTTGGAGTCATGGGCGGTGGAGAACACCCCATCACGTGACCCTCTTGCACATTTGCCACCTCTATTCCATAAAAAAAAACCCCGCTTCGAAGACAGTAATGTTGCGATTGAAAAGGAAATAGGAACGATTTGAACACGATTCTAATAAATAAATTATCGTAATTTTTTTATGTGAGAAAGTTCACCTGATACGATAGCCGCCGCCCATGGAAATTTGCAACACCCGGAGGGTTGCAAATGCGTCGCCACCTTTATATAAAGTGGGCCCCGGCTACCTCACTCACCAGAAGAAACGCAGAAAGAGTGTAACACTTCTACTTTACGCCGGTCTTCTGTGAGTTCTCTCGGAAAATCTAACTCTGAAGAAGAAATATTCCTATTTGCTCCGTTCCTTTGGTTTGCATATAACGCACACATAACCAATGAAAGAGTTAACACCTGTTAAGCGTCGAAGACCTTACGCAACAATTCAGAGAAATGTCACAGCGTCAGAAACGATGAATCTTAACTATACGATAATGGAGGAATCTTATCTTAAATCGATAGCTTTTCCAACGCCTTTGGGCGTCGACGTTGGCAACCGGCACTTTAACAACTAGCTAAGATTTTTTGATAAGCACCAAAGATTAATGACCCCGCGGCACGGTTGCCAAGGTGTTGGCTTCTGCACCGGGGGTCGTGGGATCTATATGGGTGAAACAACTATTCGCGTGACACACAGACAATTTGTTCGGGTCCGGGTGGGGTTTGGCCCCGTGAAATTAATGTACGTAAACCGTCCTTACGATACAGGTGTTATCTTACAGTAAGGGGTAATATTTTCGAAGGGAAGACTACAGTAGACCTTTCTAGGTCGAAGTATTCGCCGGGACTCGCTACCCAACTCAGATTACTGACATACGATAAAGCAAATCCAAGCTGACGGTAGCACCCAACCCTCTTCCCTATTAAAATTAATTATTTATTCATTTAAACTTTTACACAAAAAATTAACATTGTGTATGAGCTGACTTAATGCCTAAGGCATTCTCTCCCAGTCAACCTACTCGCCGGCGACGGTCGACGCAAAGACAAAAGAGGCAGGTGTAAAAAGTTTCAAATTAAATATTAAGTTAAAATAAAAGTTATATACATATATAATCATATAAAATTAAATTTAGAACATATACATGAAAATATACAACGTATATAAACATATTAAACCCAATATAACAAAAATTATTACATTATTTAAGGATTCAAAATAGAATACATATATACTATAATATTCATAAATACTTAATTAATATACATAACTAAATAATATGCGATATCCATAACTACTGATGATTTTATTCTGCCAACTTACTTAGATATAATTTTTTTATCTTATTCTTAAAAGCATTACGTTCAGTGGTCTAGTTAATTAATTAGGGTGGGTTTGTTAGTCAATTAGGGTGTTCTTTAATTTCAATAGCCTCGCGAATCATCCTTAGAAAGGAATCGGTGTTCTTTTGCGAGGATCTGTGCTCTACCAAACCTGGTATAATAAAGTTGGGGCGATTTAGGGTGTGCATACAGACAGCAGATTTTTTTAATCTATTGTTTTTTAAATTAGCTATGTTCCTTCATGCGTGAAAGAAGATATTATAGCTGAATTAAAACACTTTTTGTAGCTGACTAAAAACAAATTTAATGGTAATCGATGACCGACATGGGTCATGCATTGTTGCAATAATAAAGAGTTCCTGTTTGGTATTCATTCGATAGCAAAGGAAACGGCCGTTGTTAGTTAATTAATTCGTAAAAAATCTGTAAATTTGGTTCAGGCGCCTTAACCTTCGAGGTTAGGTTATTTTTTTTATGACCACCAAGAAATACGAGCAGAATTGACATATTGACAACAAAAAAATGGCGGATTTCTATAGCATAAATCACACTATTTCATTATTTTTTCGAAAACTATAAGCGACCGCCGAATTCTGCTTGTTGATAAATTCATTAGTGATTTTTCTCTATCGTTTAAAATTTATTTTAATTGAATTACGACGGAGTTAAAGTTATTTACATTTGCCTTACTTTTACGTGCTCCTACCAAAGTTAAAACGGCGTTTAGCAACCTTTGGATACGAGTTATGCAATGACATCATCCGAAGTGCATTTCGAATGTTGCACAAATAGTGGCGATAAATGAATATAAAAGAAAAATCATAAACAACTACGATACATATGATGCGTCAAATTCAAGGTCTTCGATAGATCTATCTTCGTTTTCCAACGTTCGCTCTTTATCGGGGTTCTGTTGGAGATATCGTATGTTTAAGTGACATCCGAGTTCTATCCCCGAAGGTTCTGTATACGATAACAACGAAATAATAGTGCCCAATAAAAGAGTTTCTATTAATCACATTTTTGGGAAGAATTTTTTTTTTAATGTGAAAAGTTGCCAAGCGAGCAGACGGTTCACCTGATGGTAAGCGAATACCGCCGCTCATGGACATCTGCTACTCCCTAGCGTTGCAGATGCGTTGACAACCTTGTGAAAATTGGCCTCCGGCCACCTCACTCACCAGACGAAACGCGAAAGTATTACACTTCCACTTCACGCTGGTCTTCTGTGAGGTCGCGGTACTTACCCGGACGAGCCTGCCCATTCGTGCAACAGCCGAGGCTGTTGCGTGGCCCTACCACCGTACAAAATTAGTTATTTAATTATCAAGGCGACATTTTTTTCCTTCAATTACATTTGTGTCTAGCTCCTAGTATGAAATCTGTGGTAGGGCACGTAACAGTGTTCGCTGTTGCACGGATGGGCAGGTACGTCCTGGTAGGTACCACGACCACGTACACAGAAGACTGGCGTGAAGTAGAGGCGTTACACTTCTACGTTTCGTCGGGTGAGTGAGGTAGCAGGGGCCCAATCTATTAAAAGGTGGCAACGCATCTGCAACCTCACCGGTGTTGCAAATATCAATATCACTTAACATCTGGTGAACCGCCAGCTCGTTTGAAATCTGCCCCCGGTTCGCTGCTGTTGTGAACCAGGGTGAGATGTAGAATAATATTTAAATCAATGTATTTAAAAAGAAATTACACTAAAAACATTTTCATTTATTCGACTACGATATCTAGTCAGATGTATACGGCAATTTACATTTGCGAGAAAGAGAGGTTTCGAAGACAGAGTGCAATGCAATCTATATTAACTAGGGAGCGGAGCTGAACCTATTCGCAAGAGATGGTAGATGGGGACTCCACTGGAGCTTTAAATCTACTGTAATTACCAAGAATACAGCGGACTCGAAGGTATTAACGGGTACGCTATTTAATATTAAACTAAAACTTTGCCTTCTAACACTGGGAAGGGTAAAAAGAAGACATTTAGTTTTTTTTTTTGGCATTTAGTACCATAAATTACTAATGGTAAACCAGTGGAGTGTATGCGAAAGTGTAGTTCACGTCGTCATAATTGAATGCATTTCGGTCAATCTTAAAAATGAGCGATGTATCGTCAGCAAACAGTACAACATCACACATGCGTTGTGTGATGTTGTACTGTTGATCATTTATATATACTAAAAAATAATGATGGTGCCAAGATTGATCCTTATGGGACACCCATTTTCATGGGGGACCCAGAGGAATTAACATCATTTATAGATACTTTTTGAATGATATTACTAAGTTAAGAGGCAATGAGATTGAGGGCGATGTCACAAATGCCATAATAATCTAGATTTTGATGGAGGGTTTTGTGGGTCTACGTAGCCTAAAGCTTTTGAAAGGTCGCAAAAGACAACTATTGCATCTTGTGACCTTTCCCAGGCGTTATAAATTTAGATGCAAATTCAAATTCAAAATATCGTTATTCAAATAGACGCTTGCGCGTTCTTATGAAAAGTCAAATTTTACATAATAATAAATATATATATAAGTTCGTAAGGTACCACCGGTTCGGAAAGCAGTTTCTGTTGAGAAGAGACCGTCAAGAAACTCAACAATTGCTCTGTTAAAAAAAAAAAAATTTAAAATATAACATGGTACAGTTGCAATAGTCTTATTTTAGCCTACGTTAATATTAACAGTATTAACTCCACACATTGGCGTCGTCAAGATATTCTGCAATGGTATAATATGCTTTGACCGTAAGTTTACTTTTCATTTTACGATTAAATTGATCAAGTGGCAGACTTAATATCGACTCTGGGATTTTATTATACATGTGCATACTTTGCCCCATGAACGACTTGTTTACTTTTTGTATTTTACTAAATTTCATAACATCTGGAAATATTCCACACCCCGTGTTAAAAATATATGCCAATTGTGTGCAATGCCATATGGCATTATTGTGGTGATTAATTTGATAGACATGCCCCATAAATGCCCTCTATTTTTAAGATTAATAGAATTCAAAAGTTTTATAATATCATCAGTATCTACGTGATTAAATTTAAACATGTGTCAACAATAGGTAACATTATTTTATGTTACATTAATTGTACATGTGGGGGAGGATTTTAATGTGCGATCCTATTGACATAGTGAGTAGTGAACATGCCTGTTGAGCCAGAGGGTGTGGGTTCGATCCTCACTACAAGAAAAATATTGTGCGATAAAAATAGTATTTTTCCAGTATCGCGGTGTTCATATATGAATAATTTGTATTTATTTTTTAGTTAAGGAAAGCATGTTTATCAGTTATCTAGCTAGTACCGAGAGTACAATCGTCGCTTAGTTTGTGACTAGAGAAAGTTGTGTAAAAATGTGTCCGAATGGTATGAATGATATTATTTATAACGGTGCATTTTCTGCAGCTCCACTGACTGCCACTTAACAAAGTATCTCTTATCAAGTACTTAAGATATAAGGAGATCTTAAAAGGGCCACCGTATTGAGCTGATTACGCTTTCGTCGTGACGTCGCGAGAATGAAGGTCTTGCTGGTCCATTTGCTGATTATCGGCGCAGCGCTGTGCTCACCCCGATTGGACCCACTGGTGGACACCAAGAAAGGTCTGATCAGAGGCCTGCAGGCTTCCGATGGAGACTATGCCATGTTCCTGGGCATTCCCTACGCCAGGGTCAATGAGAGCAATCCATTTGGGGTGAGTTATACTTCTAGGCCTCCAACAGATTCTACAATATTTGTGATTTCCAACGCTCATGATACCGCTCGCTACCTCTTTGAGCAACTTACTTAAAACATCACTTTGAATGATAGTCGTGATTCGAAGTTGTGTAACTCATAGGAATTAAATGATGCCGAGTGGAGACAGAAGAACCGAGGAATCACCTCAGCTTTCTGACACTCAAAGTCAAAATATCTTTATTCAATATAGGCTTAACTTAAGCTCTTATTTAACGTCGAAAAAAAAACTACCACCTACTACTGCCACTACTACACTGTGTTATAGTTTCTGTTTATTTACATTCCAGCCATCGCACCCGTACCCAGACTTCGAAGAAGTCTTCGAGGCTTACGATGACACCGCTGTATGCCCGCAAATCGAGGAGTTTTCCAACGAGATAGTCGGATCGCTCGACTGTCTCCACTTGAACATCTACGTACCCAACAAGGCGACCACCAGAAACCGTCTGCCGGTGCTGGTCTGGATCTACGGGGGCGGCTTTCAGATCGGCTACGCCGGTCGCTTTCTGTACGGGCCCAAATACTTGGTGAGGAACGACGTCATCCTCGTCACCCTCAACTATAGAGTGGGTCCGTACGGTTTCATGTGCCTGGACACGGCGGACGTGCCCGGCAACCAAGGTCTGAAGGACCAGCTGACCGCTTTGAGATGGGTCAAAGACAACATAGATGCGTTCGGCGGTGATGTCAACAAGGTGACAATCTTTGGTGAGAGCGCTGGCGGTGCGTCCGTTGACTTCCACCTGCTGTCTACGAAAGAGAAGCTCTTCGATAAAGCTATATTGCAGAGCGGGACAACGCTCTGCCCGTGGGTGATGGAAGACAGCGACAGCAAAAATCAAGCACCGATAAAGATCGCTGAGCGTCTAGGGTTGGACACGGATAGCACGGACGACGCCCTGGAGTTTTTGACGACGGTGAAACCTGAACTGGTTATAGCAGCATCCTCGGAAATACCTCTGAACTTTTTACCTTGCGTCGAGAAGGAGTTCGAGGGCGTGGAGCGGTTCATCGCGGTGCATCCGATCAACGGAGCGGCACCGAAGGCGAGGAGCGTACCGATTCTGGCCGGCTACAACAGCAACGAGATGCTGGAAATCGCCGGAAAAAAGCCCGCAGAAAGCTATCAAGATTCGGACGTGTTCCACGAGTACTTGACGCACATATTCGACCTGAGCGAGGACGGGGAGCTGGAGACGATTGTGCGCCAGTTTTACATCGGCGACGAGGATATAAGCGTAGATCTGAAACGGGAGCTGATAAATTTCGAGTCAGACTTAAGTTTCAACCATCCGGTACACAGAAGCGTGCAAAAGTACTTGGCTAACGCGGGAAGAGTCTACCATTATCTCTTCTCGTACTCCGGCAACAGAAATTTCGTAAAGTACATGAAAAATATAACAGACGATGGCGCGGCCCACGCTGACGAAATTGGTTATCTGTTTGACATGACACTGCTCTCTGAGGATCCTTCAGAGGAGGACCAGCTCGTCATAGACAGGATGACTACAATGTGGACGAACTTCGTAAAGTATGGGTAAGTACCCGAGAACTTTTAACGGTGGACGAACGGACAGTTCACACATCCGAATTTCGTCTGCTGAGTGAGTCAGCCGGCGAGCACTTTGTTAGAAGGTGGTAACGCATCTGCAACACTACGTATGTTGCAAATGCCAATGGGCGGTGGTTATCACTTAACATCAGGTGGACCGCCAGCTCGTTTGCCAATGTGAGGAACATTAAAAAGAAAATGTATTCGCATTTTAGTAATTTTCTTTGTACCGTTTAAACATTTTTGCAGATTTAATCGCGTTTTAACTTTGATTTGTAATTTCCGTCATTCCAAACCGTTCAATAACGAGACCAAAGTCTACTAGCCCATAAAATCCGTAAACTAGCATTTAAAATGTATAATGTTCGCGTTAAATCAAGAAATCGCCATCAAAATTTTCAAGTTCAATCGCGTACCCTCCACAGGGATCCAACGCCGGAGACGTCCGATCTGCTGCCCGTGAAATGGGTACCCGCAACCGCTGAAAAATTGAACTACTTGAACATCGACAGCGACCTGACCCTCAGGAGGAGACCCTTCCACGATCGGATGGCCTTCTTGGACCTCTTCTTCGAAATGAACAAGAATTTGCTCCGGGGATACGATGGCGGCAACGAATAAGCAAACGCAGGTGTATTTTATATGAGTTCTGTTAGTCAGAATTAGATTTTAATATATCTGAATAAACACTGAAATTTATAAAATAAACTCTATTCAAATCTTAGATTTCTGTTACTTCTTACATTTATTCAATCTGTATGGTAGAGTTGGTTTGCATCATCCTATTTCATCTAAAACCATCCATTGCACCTAAAACCCGTTGTTATATCAATTATTAGGGTTAGAGTAATTAAATTTGATGACTCCGTGGCGCAGTTGCCAAGGTATTGGCTTCGGCATCAGGGGTCGTGGGTTCGATTCAATAGTTGTCCCACACGGGACAACTATTTGTGTGACCTACAGATAGTTGTTTCACATCTGGGTTTTTGTCTGCGTAAAATTTATGTTTGTAAAACGTCATTACAACACAGGATAATATTATCCTAAGGAATTATTATCCTAATGGCAATGTCTTTAAAAAAATATTTTTTTATACAAAGGAAACTTCAAAGTAACTAGTATTTACAAGTACACCTTGCTTAAAAGGGCTGTGTTGTATGAGTGATTTTAGGCATGTCTATACCATCATGTTCTGAATTCATAGTTTTCACATCATCTGCTTTAAGCAGTAAGTAATCATTTTTATATTTGTAAATAAAATAACCAAGGCCCTAGAAAGGATCCCTGAGAAACCCTAGCGGTCACGGTAAACCTATAAAGATTTTGTAATGCGCATATTTATTCTAAGACTACTATGCCTAAATCAATCCTCGATTGTTCATCAGACGTTAAGCCCCGTCTATGAAAATACACGATTGCAAAGAGTAGACCCTCAAATAGACGACATCAAAGGTATTATACTTCTACTGGCAAATGTCAATGGGCGGCGCTTATCACTTAGGTGAACCGTCAGGAAGAACTACGGATGTTAAAGAAAAAAATCGTGAGGAAACATGCACATTATAGAACTATGCCAATACCGTTTATACAGAGGCCTTTGCCCAGCATAAGATGTTACTGAAACGAACAAGAGTAACACTTCTACTTTACGCCGGTCTCCTGTGAGTCGTTGTACTAACCCGGACGGACCCGCCCGTTCGTGCAACAGCGAACACTGTTGCGTGGTCCTGCCACTGTTAATGCTGCTGCTGATGTTAAATGTATAATAATGTCAAATAAAACTTATTTACGGACTTTTCACGTTTAGTTTTAATTTTAATTCTTGTCAGAAATGTAACGCAAAGCCTACTATAGCAAGAATCTCATCCGTGGGAGTTTGCGGGACACTTTATGACAGACCAGTGTGAAGTGTACACAGTATAGTTTTTTCCCATTTTAGAGTGAGGTGACAGGGGACCCACTAAGTTTAGAGTGACAACGCATCTGTAACACCTAAGCCTCGTATTACCAGCTGCAAGAAACTCAACCTTGTATAAACGAAATAGCAATGTTTATCAAAAAGTCATTATTTTGTTTCTACCTATTTTTGAGATAGTAATTAAATAACCTTTATCATCATCATAATCCTCCAGCCCTTATCCCACCTTGGTGGGGTTGGCCCAAAATGTGTATCATGCTGTAACCATCGATGACTCCGTGGCGCAGTTGCCAAGGTATTGGCTTCGGCGTCGGGGGTCGTGGGTTCGATTCCCACACGGGACAACTATTTGTTGCGACCCACAGATGGTTGTTTCGCATCAGGGCGTTTGTCCGCGTGAAATTAATGTTTATATAAGCTCCTTACAACATAATGTTGTCCAAAAGCGGTTTGGGCTATGTTTTTCACGACGGCCACCTGCCTGACCTCAGCCCTAACCCCCCTTGGGAAACAAACAGGCATACCCGGTATATCTGTGAGGCACAGATGACTGTTCCGGTTCGAACCCACGAACGCCGAAACCAATCATCATTATTATCGCACTCGCGCCACTCAATCATCATTATTATTTACGTTCCATCACTACATAGTATAAACAAAGTCGTCCCGCTGTCTGTCCGTCCCTATATATGCTTAGACCTTTAAAACTACGCAAAGAATTTTGATGCGGTGTTATTTAATACATAGAGTGACAAGAGGAGGTTTTATATGTATAATTCATGCATAATATAGTAGAGGAACACTGATAATTATAAAATATGTATATTGTGTGCTTACTTAATATTTTTTTTTTCTTTTTATAGTCTAATATACTACTCATATAAAGCAGTAAATAAATATATTACTACTCGCTTGCTGTGGCACGTCCGTTGCCTACGGACGCTTGGGCCGACTGAAAATCAGCGCCGCAGTGCTGCGCGGTACATGCTGAGTAGGTCCTTTCCGTCTCTACATCCTTATTTATAATTTTCTTTTATTTTTATTCTTTGTATTACTTTGAATTCTTATTTTTTTTTCCTCTTGTAATTACTTTTAGGTTATTTAATTTATTTGCTTATTTTATTTCTATTTTTTTTTTTAGTTTGTTATTTTGTAATTATAAACATTGTAACCAAATGTAATATGTGTGCAGATGAAATGTCGGATTAAATGTCTTAATGTCTTAATGATAATTTTAGAGGTTTCTAATGCGATTTCGAAAACAAACATTCAGCATTGCACCCGCGCGAAGCCGGGGCGGGTCGCTAGTATTATATAAAAGATCATATGACAGAAATAGATCGATGAGGAAAATGGGATAAGGCATGCGACTTTTACAAAGCGAAAAAATCCAAGTTATCTGATAAGTACCAACAAATTTGAGATAAAGAGTTTACAGACTGATATTACATACCAATATTAAGCCGAATTAATACTCAATAATATTGGCTATACGGTTTAATTGCGAAGGTTCCGTATATGGTGCGAAGGAAATGAATTGCTTATAAAGTAACACATACTTGTCCCACTGCTGGGCAAAGACCCCCTCTGTACAGAGGGCACTAGGGCATAGTGCAGCACGCGGACCTTTTTTGATTGGCAGAATCCAGGCATTTTTAAAATATTTGTTTTTTGCTTTCTATTTCGAAATTGTGCCCGTCTCCTCGCGATGTTTTCCTTCACCGCTGAGCACTTGATAAGTCGGCACTTAAAGTTAACAATGTCATTGGTGCCGGCACCGGGCATCGCGGGTTTCTCGAGTATATTGAATTAAAAGCGAGCGCCCGGGGTGAGCTATCACACCTAATTGTTTATAATGACAATCCCAATTAAAATTGGTTTAAAGGATGGAATAGAAAAAAAGCCAAGATTGGTTAAAACCGACGAAAGTGCTCCATGAATTAAAACTTCTTCGAAACTGGCGTAGATTCGGTAAGTTTGGGACCTGCTTTCTGATGATGATTATAATAGGCTTTTTAGAAAAATTTTTTTCAATATACTTAATTCTACATGTTTATGTTGTTTCTATTTATTTCCTTAATTTAAAAAATATAATATCAACAAATTTAACTGTTATACGGCCACGCGACGATCTTGCCTATTGCACAATGGGAAGGTCCGATATTTTTCTTCTCTCAAAAGATAAATAAAACATCCTATGCAACGAAGCGCGAACCTTGAGGAACCCCAGTGCTAATAATAGGCCTCGATACATAATAAATTCGAATAGACGCAAATTTATTGTACGGGTGTAATAAAATTGTTTATTTAAAGTGCTTACTTGTCACGTGCTCAGCGGTGAAAGAAAACATCGTGAGGAAACCTGCATATTTTAGAAATGATAACAAGAACTACAGTCTAAAGGTGGCAGGGCCACGCAGCAGCCCCGGCTGTTGCACGAATGGGCAGGCCCGTCCGGGTAAGTACCACGACCTCACAGAAGACCAGCGTAAAGTGGAAGTATGACGAATACTTCCGCGTTTCGTCTGGTGAGTGAGGTAGCCGGAGCCGAATTTTCAAAGGGTTGTCAACGCATCTGTTACCCTCGGGTGTAGCGGATGTCCATGGGAGGCGGTATTCACTTACCATCAGGTGGACCGTCTGATCGCTTGGCAACTTTTCACATAAAAAAAGAATGTCTTTCAATCCGCGTAGTGGACTATGGCCTATTAACTTTTTAAAGAGATTAATATACTCACTGTTGCGTCTCAATATATTTATTGTAATATTTTGTATGTTAAACAGAATATTAATAATTATCAAAAGAATAGTGACAGACATAAACTAAATACTAGAAATAAGGACAAACAAACTAACTACGCCATTATTTCGCCTACAAAAAGTAAACAGATCGTTTATGGGGCAAAGTGTGCGCATGTATAATAAAATCCCACAGTCGATGTTAAGTCTGCCACTTGATGAATTTAAACGAAAAATTAAAAGTACACTTATGGCTAAAGCCTATTATACTATTGCCGAATATCTTGACGACGCCAATGTGTGGTGGTTAATACTGTTGATACTCACGTAGGCTAAAACAAGACTATTGTACCTGTACTATTATATTGTAAACTGATTTTTTAAAAAAGAGCAACTGTTGAGTTTCCTGCCGGCTTCTTCTCAACAGAAACTGCTTTCCGAACCGGTGGTAACTTACGAACGTGTTAATTTCTTGTAAAATTTTGACGTTTCATAAGAACGCGCAAGCGTCTATGTGAATAAAGATATTTTATTATTATTATTATTTATTTAACAGAGGATAAAGAGTTAGTGCCAAGTGTAAAGAGTTACATATTAGGCCTTACCCAGCAGTGGAATATACATTTTGGGTTTTTTTTTTGTTGGAGTTGGTTTGGGTTGTTACGTTATTTTTTTATATTATTATTTATTTTTTGTACGATTTTTAAATTCTAGTACCGTTAATTTAGACACGTGCTGACCTAGTGTTTGATAGTGAACTATACTAATCCAAGGTCCAATAGATCTCGACAACTATAAGATAGGCAGTTTTCAGCCAGGTATTTCTTATCTACGTTCTGACGAAAATAGTTTCAACTTAAGTGCCGTCACAGTTTAATTTGAGGCGGTTCCGCACGTGGTTATTAATAATTATATATATCAACTAGCTGACTCAGCACATTGTTTTGCCATATAAATCATTTCTAGAAAAATCGTTTGACAGGTGCAGTTTGTATGTTTGCATATTAAAACCAAAATTAGCCAAATCGGTCCAGCCGTTCTCGAGTTTTAGCGAGACTAACGAACAGCGACACATTTTTATATATGAGATTGCTAAGAAAGTAGAAAGGTGGCCCAAGAATTACAAATTGTTACTCTTATGAAAGTATCATAGATTCAGTAACAGTTTACCTGCTTTATAAAATATTTGCTTCATAATATATTATTTCCTACTCATATATTATTGCATACTAAATTCGAAGGTCCACGCTCAAATAGAAATATTCAAATCCGTACATATTCGCATAAACGACACAAATCTGCGATGTCCTAGCTAGTCATTAGCGAACCCTAAAAGAAAGGCAGTCAAAGCAAAAGTCTTGAACAAAATTATTGGCACTAATCGGAAGAGGGTAAAGTTTTACATCAACCTATGCGGGAATGTAAATAAACTAAATAAATAACCGAAATGACTCTGCGGTTGTTACGCTTAACAGCGATAAATCTAATCAGCTACTCAAGATATTGAAGATCTTATATAGGGTCAAGTGAACAGGACAACACTTCTGTCGGAACAGTGCAAGGATGAATGTCGCCTTGGTCTATCTGTTGTTTATTAGCGCGGCGCTGTGCTCGCCGAGACTGGACCCACTGGTGGACACCAAGAAGGGGCTGATAAGGGGCCTGCAGGCATCCGATGGGGACTACGCTATGTTCCTGGGCATACCCTACGCCAGGGTCAACGAGAGCAATCCGTTTGGGGTGAGTTGATTTAGTTGACCAAGCCCACTCTAGTTGAGTGGGCTTGGTAGTACGAAAGGAATACTGAGACGAAAAAATACTCTTCAGTAGGGTCACGAACAGAGAATAAAGAGTTAGTGCCAAGAGTAAAGAGTTACATATTAGGCCTTACCCAGCAGTGGAATATACATTTTGGGTTTTTTTTTTGTTGGAGTTGGTTTGGGTTGTTACTTTATTTTTATATTATTATTTATTTTTTGTACGATTTTTATATTCTAGTAGTAGTACTGTTAATTTAGACACGTGCTGACCTAGTGTTTGATAGTGAACTATACTAATCCAAGGTCTAATAGATCTCAACAACTATAAGATAGGCAGTTTTCAGCCAGGTATTTCTTATCTCCGTTCTGACGAAAATAGTTTCAACTTAAGTGCCGTCACAGTTTAATTTGAGGCGGTTCCGCAGGTGGTATTAATAATAATATATATCAACTAGCTGACTCGGCACATTGTTTTGCCATATAAATCATTTCTAGAGGAATCGGAACGCGTTCACAAATCGTTAGACAGGTGCAGTTTGTATGGGAAAATAAAATTATTGCTATCATCGTTTAAACCTTCCCTGGACTGCCACGAATATATCAAAACCAAAATTAGCCAAATCGGTCCAGCCGTTCTCGAGTTTTAGCGAGACTAACGAACAGCAATCCATTTTTATATATGAGATTGCTAAGAAAGTAGAAAGGTGGCCCAAGAATTACAAATTGTTACTCTTATGAAAGTATCATAGATTCAGTAACAGTTTACTTGCTTTATAAAATATTTGCTTCATAATATATTATGTCCTTATATAAAATAACGCGAATTGGACGCGGTGCAATAAGAATGTTTCGTTTGTACTTCTTAATTAAGAAAAACTAATTAACCAATTAATCAAATTGAGTATGCAATGTCGCGCCATTGCATACTCAATTCGAAGGTCCACGCTCAAATAGAAATATTCAAATCCGTACATATTCCCATAAACGGCACAAATCTCCGATGTCCTAGCTAGTCATAAGCGAACCCTAAAAGAAAGGCAGTCAAAGCAAAAGTCTTGAACGAAATTATTGGCACTAATCGGAAGAGGGTAAAGTTTTACATCGACCTATCCGGGATTGTAAATAAACTAAATAAATAACCGAAATGACTCTGCGGTTGTTACGCTTAACAGCGATAAATCTAATCAGCTACTCAAGATATTGAAGATCTTATATAGGGTCAAGTGAACAGGACAACACTTCTGTCGGAACAGTGCAAGGATGAATGTCGCCTTGGTCTATCTGTTGTTTATCAGCGCGGCGCTGTGCTCGCCGAGACTGGACCCACTGGTGGACACCAAGAAGGGGCTGATAAGGGGCCTGCAGGCATCCGATGGCGACTACGCTATGTTCCTGGGCATACCCTACGCCAGGGTCAACGAGAGCAATCCGTTTGGGGTGAGTTGATGAAGTTGGCCAAGCCCACTCGACTATACGAAAGGAATACTGAGACGAAAAAATACTCATCAGTAGGGTCACGCAACAGTCCGTGCGAGTAAGTACCACGACCTCACAGATGAACGGCGTGATGTGTCTGGCAAGTGAGGCAAGCTGAGCCCACTTTACAAGTCTTTTTTTTTTGTTATCGGGGGGGAAATCTTCGAAAGATAAGGTCAACCCCCTGTGGGGGTTCTTACCCACTAAAACCTCCTCGGTGGACCCCTTCTGTACGTTTGGAGGGACTCCGGGATCTGTCATGGAACGCACCGGTGTCGGTTGTGCGACGCCTGAGCACGCCTCGGAGAAGGTTTCACCTTCTCCGGTTCCCTCTCCCTCTTGCAAGAGCACGAGACCACTTCGTGCTGCTGCCCATCCGTATCCCCTTTTAGTCGCCTTTTACGACAGGTAGGGGATACCTTAGCCCTATTCTATGAGCCCGGGACTACAGGGCTGACTTTACAAAAGTCTAGCAACACATCTGCAACCCTACGTGGGTTGCCTGCTTATAACTCAACAGCAGGTGAACCGCCAGCTCGCTTTCTACCTTCTTAAACTCATAAAGAGGCAAGAACTACACCTTTACATTAGAACTACACCTTTACATTATTTTATTCCAGCCGTCCCACCCGTACCCCGATTTCGAGGAAGTCTTTGAGGCTTACGACGGGTCAGCGAAATGCCCACAAATAGACGACAATTCGCACCAGATTATCGGATCGCTCGACTGCCTGCGCATGAACGTCTACGTGCCCAACAAGGCGTCCTCCAGGAACCGGCTGCCGGTGCTGGTCTACATCCACGGCGGGGTGTTCCAGGTCGGCAACGGTGGTCGGGACTACTTCGGGCCGAAATACCTGGTGAGGCACGACGTCGTCCTAGTCACAATCAACTACAGGGTGGGCGCTTACGGTTTCATGTGCCTGGACACGGCGGACGTGCCCGGCAACCAGGGCCTGAAGGATCAGCTGATCGCTTTACGGTGGGTCAGAGACAACATCGGGGCCTTCGGGGGCGACGCTGACAAGGTGACACTGGGCGGCCAGAGTGCGGGCAGCGTGTCAGTGGAGTTCCATCTGCTGTCCAAACAGGAAAAACTCTTCGAAAGAGTTATATTGCAGAGCGGGACGACGCTTTGCCCGTGGGTGATGGAAGAGAGTAACGGTAAAAAACTACTCCAGGTCGCAGAGCGCCTGGGTTTGGATGTAGGTGACACCGACGCTGCCCTGGCCTTCTTGGCCACGGTCGATCCCGAGTTGGTCATAGCGGCTGTGTCGGAACTAGGACTACAATTCTTGCCATGCGTCGAAAAGGAATTCGAGGGCGTGGAGAGCGTTGTCGCCGAGCATCCGGTTAATAGCGCGGTACCGAATGCGAGGAGCGTGCCGATCCTGGTCGGTTACACCAGGAATGAGATGCTCTTTTACAGCAAAAGGCCGGCGGAGAGCTACCAACACGGTCTCGACATGTTCTACGACAACTTGACGATGACGTTCGACCTGGGCGAAGAAGACAGGGATCTGGAGAAGCTGGTGCGCCAGTTCTACATAGGCGATGAGACCCTAAGCTTGGAGCTGCAAAGAGAGATCACTGACTACGAGTCGGACTTCACTTTTAACTACCCCGTACACAGGAGGGTGCACAATTACCTGGAGAATGCAGCCAAAGTCTACTATTACGTCTTCTCGTACTATGGCGACAGGAACTACGGCAAGATCAAAAGGAACCTTACGGACGACGGCGTGGCCCACTCCGACGACGTGGCTTACCTGTTCGACATATCGATGCTGTCTACGGAGGCTCCAACCGAGGAGGACCAGCTCGTAATCGACAGGATGACAACAATGTGGACAAACTTCGTGAAGTATGGGTGAGTGGAACTAAGTTGCGACAACTCTAAGCTTTACTTAGTTTGTGGGAGTGTTGGGACAGGTCTTTGTCGCTTTACTACGTAACTTTCTAAAACTTAATACTATCGCAGTATTAAGTTTTTCTGTATTAAGTCTTTCTAAAACTTAATACTGTCACAGTATTAAGTTTTAGAAAGTTCGAGGTTTCACGGGTGGTACCTACGTAGTACTTTTTTTTATGTGTAGAGTTGCCAAGCGAGCAGGTGGTTCACCTGATGTTAAGTGAATACCACCGCCCATGGACATCTGCTACACCCAAGGGTTTGCAGATGCGTTGACAAGCATTTGAAAATTCGACTCCGGCTACCGCACTCACCAGACGAAACACGAAAGTATTATACTTCCACTTTACGGAGGTCTTCTGTAAGGTTATGGTACCCCCGGACGAGCCTGCCCATTCGTGCAACAGCCGAGGCTGCTACGTGGCCCTACCACCGTTAAGCACTTGGCAAACAAGGTGATTATTGGCCTATATTTAGCCATGGTCTTCAAGCTTACAATCGTGACAACGACATTGGCTGCGGTTGTTATTGTTGAATGCTCAGGGTATTCATATGCCTGCCTTATTTTTGTGAGAGGGTGACAAGGGGGCAGGTTGTTCCCCTCGGATGGGGTTCTCGGTGGCGTGGCTTGCTCACCACGGTGAAGCCAAGAACGCACACTGACGAACCAAGGGCCGCATAAAAAGAGGCTGAGACCATTTGGCTTTAAATAGAAATTTTACGACTTTGGCCCCAATCTCCTGCCGGCTCAACTATATAATTTATGCTCCAACCTTCACAGGGACCCGATACCGGAGGCAACAGACCTGCTGCCCGTGAAATGGGCCCCTGCCACCAGCGACGTCCTGCACTACCTTGACATCGGCAGCGAGCTGGACCTCAAAAGGAGACCTTTCCACGACCGCATGGCCTTCTGGGACCTCTTTTTCAAGATGAACATCCACCTACTGAAGGGGTACAGGAATGATATCGAGTATAAAAACTAGGGTTGTTTTTTTCACTTTTGTATCAGAGCCTTTGGGCTTTTGCGTGGGGATTAAATTCTACACATTTTCCTACGCTTCTTTTTTTTTTGGCAACTCTTAGGTGAGATTTCTCATACTCTTTACTGGGCGAAAGTTCCTGGCGCCTCAGTCGGCCATTTGCTAGCGATGCTGACTATAATGAAGACGTTTTATAGATATATAGTGTACGCATATAACGAACAGTCAATTTAAAAGAAAACTCAGTACCGACAGTCATTGCTTAATGTTATACAGCAATGAATCGGAAGGTTTTATAGAAACCATAAGTTAGATAACGTAATATTATGCAAAAAGAGAATGAGACAACTTGTGTAGAAGAACTATAGTAGGCCCAGAAAGCATTCTATTCTGTTGCGCTTGTGGGCAGGCTGGAAAGGGACACCGACACGAAGTTGAAGGATTTTGTAGTGTGTGAGGTAGCCGGGGGCTTTATTCAAGGGTGGCAACGCATTTGCGACCCTTGTGGCAAAGCAGATGTCCATTGGCGGTGGTCATCACTTGACATCCGCCGCTCGCTTCCTTCTTGCATAAAACGTTCAAACAAGACACTACACAAATTAGACACCCAATTGCCTACCATAAAGCCCGACTTCCTAACTGCTAAACCATCCATCATTAATACGAAACATCAGAGACGTTACGATGAAAGTTATACACAGAGGTCCATTCGAAAAGGCATCGGCAAGGTCGCGTGCAGTTTATCGCATCGCAATATTGATTGATATATGACCTAAACAAGTGTTTGTAGCAAAATATCTAGAGATCGTGAACGGAATAATTGCCAGTATACAAAAATAAAAGTATTAATTAGGAACGTTATAGCGACTGTCACGATTCTTTCACCTTTGTGTAGACGGATATAAATGATAATGTGCTCTTTGAAGAAAGAAATGTGGAAAGCGAAAACTCATTTCATTTTCCTACTGCTATTACGAGTTCAATGAGATGATAAAAAAATATTGTAAATAAGTTAAATGAAGCTCATATAATTATGAATCAAATTAACGTTGAAGATTTCAAATAGAAATCTTAATTCAATATGGGAGCATTACACTAAGTTATTGATTGTAAAAGAACATTACTACAGATTCGGAAAAAAAGCCACGGACCTAAGAAGAACCGGGGAAAGTAACACAGCGGGACAAATTCTTTTGACATAATTTGACAAAAAAATAAAACATGTTTGTACAACATATTAAATACCACTTGAAGGAGCCTCAGGCGATCAATTAATTTCCAGAGCGTTACCATTTAGAGTTTTTGTTTAAGTGCAGTCAAACTAGACCAAGGTCGAAACTCATCGGAAAAGGAGGGGAATGTGATTAGAATGAAAGTAAAATAAATTACGATGCGATCTGAGTTCGGGAAGTGGAGGGGGGTGAGTTTTTAAGGGTAAACACGATCTCGATTTCGGGCAAGATTTACAACTTTTGAAAACTCAAAATTTATGTGAAAAAACTGAAATAAACAAGTTTTTGGTTTTTGATTTTTATCTTTAACAAAAAATTTCCTTTTCACGAAATTTGGTACGAAAAATAATATAGTATAATATAATATAGATCTTTTTATTACCTACAACTTTGCCATTTTACTTTTTTCCAAGGGACTTGTAGTTTTGCCGGAAATCGAGATAAACTCTTAACACCTCCCCCCCACTTTCGGAACTCAGATCGTCTGTAATTTATTATTAGCATGACTGTCGTTGTGAGGACTATTTAAATGGCAATGCATCCACATGGTCACCACGAGTTCTGTGGCATTCCATGGGCGATGCTGCTTCATGCCGGTCTTCTGTTAGGTCGTGGTACTCGCCCGGACACCGAGTCGCGGTGGCTCAATATCCGGGACGCGAGTCTTCGCCGTTACACGAATGCTCAGGTCCGTCTGTGAGTACCACGACTTCGCAGAAGACCAGCGTAAAGCGGAAGTGTTACAGTTCCAACGGTGAGTGGGGTAACCGGGGCAGACTCTATTGAAAGATGGCATCGCATCTGCAACCCTACGGGTGTTGCAAATGCCAATGGGTGGCGGTTATCCCTTCTCGCATAAAAATAGACAATGCGAAAGTATAGCACGTCCACTTCTTGGTGGTCTTCCAGGTCGTGGTACTCGCCCGGACGAGGCTTCCCATTCGTGGCAGCGGTGGAAGGTGGCGCGTGGCCACACCACGGGTGCCACCACCCCACTTAACAGACCTACACCCTATCGTTGACTGAGCGGCTCGGATGGTCGTTGGGCAATCGAACTGGGATGGCTCACCAAGGCTTTTACGAGGGTTGCGAAACGGCCGGTGGGGCCGCGAAACGAGCGCCATACTCGACTTAAATCTTCTTCTTTCTTTCTTACCTTTATCCCTAGGTGGGGTCGCCACAACATGTCCTTTCCTTCCACTTTCTGCTACCAGCGGTCATCTCAATACTGACCCCTTTCACAGACATTTTTTACGGTGGCAGGGCCACGCAGCAGCCTCGGCTGTTGCACTAATGGGCAGGCTCGTTCGGGTAAGTACCACGACCTCACAGAAGTCCGGCGTTAATTGGAAGTATAATACTTTCGCGTTTCGTCTCGTGAGTGAGGTGGCCGGAGCCCAATCTTCAAAAGGTTGTCAACGCATCTGGGACCCTCGGGTGTAGCAAATGTCCATGGGCGGCGGTATTCACTTAGCATCAGGTGAACCGTCTGCTCGCATGGCAACTTTTCACATTAAAAAATAATATCTTCATGCGGTCCATCCAAATCTTCAAGAACGCCTCGTCCGTACATATAACAAGTCTAACATTTTTATAAACAACAAAACTAAACTCGTATCGTATAGCTTATTGACCATACATTTCCAATTTCATTATAGTGAGTTTCATTTTAGAGAGATGAATATCCGCAGTACAAGGTCCGATACCAATGGTTGCCAACGCATCTGCAACCCTCGGGTGTAGCGGGTATCCACGGGCGGCGGTATTCATTTTGCTCTCTTGGCAACTTTTCACGTAAATAAAAAAAAAACAATGAAATTAAAAACAGGCCACATGGGACCTTAACGAGACCCAAAAATGTAAAAAAATAACTACTAAATTACGGATACGGAAACATTAAAAATAAAACCTGATTGAGAAGTACCTCTTTTTTTGGAGTCGGTTGAAAACTATACATCAATCACCAGAATAATAAGTAATGTTAAGCCATAAACACGTCCCACTGGCAAAGGCCTCCTGTGTACAGAGGGCATAGTCCACCACGCGGCCCCACTGCGGATTGGCGGCTAACTTATAAAAGATTGAAGCAAACAACGTGTACCGGTATCCAATCGACGATTTATAACACAAGTTAAAAACTCCCACACGATACTTAATTCACTGTGGACGAGTAAAAAACGACCGAGCTACGCAACAGAGCGTCGCCTTTTAGCGGGCCCCGAGGCCGGCGGGCGTACACGCGGGAGCGGATAGCGATTTCTGTCTAGATTATTTCTATACTTAACGTTTGTTTAAGTGAACACTTATTTGTTTTAAAGACTTATCACGTGGTCAGCGGTGAAGGAAAACATCGCGAGGAAGCCTGCATATTTTCGAAATAATAACAAAAAAAATATTTCGAAGATATGTGAAGTCCGCCAATCCGCAGTGGGTCCGCGTGGTGGACTATGCCCTGATACCGTCTGTACAGAGGAGGCCTTTGCCCCTTTGGCCTGTGGGTCATGTATAGGCTGTTACCTTTACCTGTAACTATACATATTGCTTTCTTGATTTTACGCGAATATTATACATATTAAATGAAACTAGTTTACGGATTTTTATCGCGTTTTTTTATTTTGATTTGAACTCCCGACACATTTAACGATACATTTTTACACAATGGTTATCTAGTCCCAATTTGTACTATGGTTACTAATATGTGACTGATGGATGAACAGACTAACGTACTTTTCGTTTGTAAATAAATACGAGTATATACTAGGGACATATAAACAGCCAGGAGCTTCTACTGTTGAATGGGCAGGCTCAACAGCGAAGTACCACCGCCTCACAGAAGAACAGAATGAAGCGATGGCATATTTTCTTTTCGCGTTTCGTCTCAAATCAAATATATATTTATTCAAATAGACGCTTGCGCGCTCTTATGAATCGTCAAATTTTACATCTAAGATAATATATATAGGTTCGTAAGGTACCACCGGTTCGGAAAGCGGTTTCTGTTGAGAAGAGACCGGCGAGAAACTCAACAGTTGCTCTTTTTCAAAAATATCAGTTTACAATATAACATACCGGTATAATAGTCTTATTATAGCCTACGTGAGTATCAACAGCATAAACTCCACACATTGGCGTCGTCGAGATATTTATTCCGCAATGGTATAGTATGCTTTAGCCATAAGTTTACTTTAAATTTTACGTTTAAACTTTAAATTGATCAAGCGACAGACTTAATGTCGACTGTGGGAATTTATTATACATGCGGGATTTTATTAGACATGTCTGGTGAGTGAGGTAGCCGGGGCACACCTTTTCAAAAGGCTGTCAACGCATTTATAGCCCACCGCTCCGCTCGCTGGGCAACTTTTCACATAAAAATAAAGTACAAACAGATGTAATGTTTACAAGTACTGATCGCACCATGCCCATCACATTCAGCAGTAAACAATTGATTACTGCATTTCTATTAATGAGCGTATTGATATTTAAAATATAAAACATCGAAATACCCACGCAAAAACACCGTGACAGGTTTATGTAAGTGTATAAATTGAGATGTTTTATTTGGTGGACATTTATTGTTGTAGTAAGCTACCAGTGGACTTAATTATATAGCTGATAGCTAAGATGCGAAATAACTATGCAGACAAAAGAAGTTGAGATTTTAGCCGGTTATAGCTTAGTGGTTAAAGCGTCTGGTTCTTGGACTTTGCTGTTCGTCTGTATGTCTGTCCGTCTGTCACCAAGCTGTATCTCATGAACCGTGATAGT